CCCCCCCCCCCTATGTGAATGAGATTTCACCAGTAAACTGCGCTGTGTTTATTCTTTCCAAGAATTGCTAAATTTGTTGTTTCCAGAGTACTGTATGTTGACATCGATGTGCATCACGGCGATGGCGTGGAAGAGGCATTTTATACGACCGATCGAGTAATGACGTGCTCCTTTCACAAGTACGGTGATTTCTTTCCCGGTACTGGCGAACTTAAGGATGTTGGTGCTGGAAGGGGAAAATATTATGCGGTAAACGTACCGTTAAGAGATGGCATCACCGATGAATCATATCAAAGCATTTGGGTTCCGGTAAGTTATACTTTATTATTCGAGCTACTAATCATTCTAATTAGCAAGCTGGTATTGTATTTTTGCCCGAGATTTTTCATTAAGAGCTTCCCACTTGAAGAATTTAATCGTACCCCACTAAGTCGTCCGAGAATTCCACAAAAATAATTCCCGTATGGATCTATTGCATCTTATTTTTGTTTTTTTTCAAAGTTGCTATATTTCGGAGTGGTTTTTCTGCCTTGACAGAGCAAATTTCTCGAAATTTAGTTAGTCACATAAGGTCTTTTGTAGTCAGATTCTCCCTCCATAAATCTAGCCAGAACAAGGCCACAGGTGGTCGTTCTTCTTTCAGACTAATGCTGCTTCTACGACCACGGAGTGTGTGAAGTTTTGCATGGAATACTTGCATAGTGTTATTCCGTTTGCACAATCGTCATTTAAAGCTTTTCCCGTGTTTCACATTGTCACTTGTTTTCTAATAACGTGCGATATGTTTTGTTTCAAACTGGTTTAAGCTAAGGAAGCGCTGTGAATTTATCGCCGTTATGAAGATTTTTTTTCCACTTTTGATGCTCTGGCTTTAGAAACCGTACGTCTTACGGCTGGAAATTGCAGGTTATGAACAAAGTGATGGAAACATTCCAGCCGTGTGCCGTAGTTTTACAGAACGGAGCAGATTCGCTGAATGGTGATCGGCTGGGCACTTTTAATCTCACTCTAAGAGGTAACAAAAACACCTGATTGTAGTAATTATTGAGACTTTATTAGGAGTGGTTACCTTTTCTGCCCTTTTCATATGACTTCGAAAATGCCAAGCGAAAAAGCAAGGGAAGACGGGTTTGAGAGAATTTTGAAAAAAAAAAAAAAAAAATGCTGAGGAATTATATGAGTTTACAATTGTTGTGTTTTCAGGGTTAGTTTTTTCGGTTAGTTTTTTCGCTAAGGGACTCAGGTCATCTACTTGAGCTTCCGTTTGCTTTTTCTAATGAAAATTCAAAATATTGAAACTTTCGAGGAGTGCGGATGAAAGGGGGTGGGGTTGGATAAATTCCAGTGCGCTGTTTCGGCTTTGATAAGGTTCTGTTCTTGTTATCAAAGATACTTTCTTCCGCTTGATTTTCTTGAGCGATTTTAAAACCAGAATCTAGAAAACGTTCATAAATACACATATTGAGCAAACTAAGATTACCACTTCAACAGAACAATAAAATATACGTTAATTCCGTCCTAATTTGTTGCGGAAAACCCGTGAAAAGCCGACTAAGAAGTCGCCGCAAAAAAAGGGGAATAAAAGAAAAGGACATATTACCTTGAAAGGCAGATACACAATAGCTGTGCTGTCAGGCTGAACTTGGAGCACAAGGACCAGTGGTGTAGTGGTAACACATTGCGTCCGGACGTGAAGAG